CAAAAAATAAAATGAAGAAGATTTATGATAAACTGCTTCATCATAAAAAATCATCTATTTTGGATCCCTATGATCTTGGATACAATTATCAACATGGAATAGGAGTTAAAAAAGATAAACGTAAGGCATTCATTAATTATCAAAAATCTGCTGAGATGGGAAATGCCAATGGAATATATGAACTTGGAAAGTGTTGTTTTTATGGAAGAAGAGTTGAAAAAGATGAACATAAGGCATTTATTAATTATCAAAAATCTGCTGGAATGGGAAATGCTTTTGCATTATATAATCTCGCAAGCTGTTACAAAAATGGAATAGGAGTTGAAAAAGATGAACGTAAGGCATTCGTTAATTATCAGAAATCTGCCGAAATGGGAAATTCTAGTGCAATAAGTCAAATTGGATATTGCTATCAATATGGAATAGGAGTTGAAAAAGATGAATATAAGGCATTCTTTAATTATCAAAAATCTGCTGAAATGGGAAATACTAATGCAATAAGTAACCTTGGAAATTGCTATCAACATGGAATAGGAGTTGAAAAGGATGAACATAAGGCATTCGCTAACTACCAAAAATCCGCTGAGATGGGAAATCCTAATGGAATGAATAATCTCGCAAAATGTTATAGAGATGGAATAGGGACAGAAAAAGATGAACATAAGGCATTCGTTAATTATCAAAAATCTGCAGAATTGGGAAATACTAAAGCAGTAAATAAGCTTGGAAATTGCTATGAATATGGAATAGGCGTTGAAAAAAATGAACATAAGGCATTCGTTAATTATCAAAAATCTGCTGAAACGGGATGTTCTAATGCAATAGGTCAAATTGGACATTGCTATCAACATGGAATAGGAGTTGAAAAAGATGAACATAAGGCATTCATACATTATCAAATATCGGCCGAAATGAGAAATTCTTATGCAATAAATGGCCTTGGATATTGCTATCTATATGGAATAGGAATTGAAAAAGATGAACTTAATGCATTTGTTAATTATAAAAAATCTGCTGAGATGGGAAATGCTGCTGCAATAAATAACCTTGGATATTGCTATAAAAATGGAATAGGAGTTGGAAAGGACGAACATAAGGCATTCGTTAATTATCAAAAATCTGCTGATATGGGAAATGCTTCTGCTATATGTAATCTCGCAAATTGTTATATAAACGTAATAAGGGTGGAAAAGGATGAACATAATGCATTTGTTAATTATAAAAAATCCGCTGAGATGGGAAATGCTTCTGCGATATGTAATCTCGCAGATTGTTATATAAACGGAATAGGAGTTGAAAAAGATGAACAAAAGGCATTCGTTAATTGTCAAAAATCTACTGAGATGGGAAATGCTTCTGCAATATATAATCTCGCAGAATGTTATCGAAATGGAATAGGAGTTAAAAAGGATGAACATGAGGCATTCGTTCATTATCTAAGATCTACAAAGATGGGAAATGCTGATGCAATATATAATCTCGCAGGCTGTTATAAAGATGGAATAGGGGTGAAAAAGGATGAACATAAGGCATTCATTCATTATAAAAAATCTGCTGAATGGAAAATTCCAATGCAATATATCAAATTGGATATTGCTATCGACATGGAATAGGAATCGGAAAAGATGCACATAAGGCATTCATACATTATCAAAAATCTGCCGAAAGGGGAAATGCTACTGCAATATATAGTCTTGCTGATTGTTATCAAAATGGAATAGGCGTTGCAAAGAATGAGCATAAAGCATTCGTTAATTATCAAAAATCTGCCGAAATGGGATGTCCTAGAGCAATGTATTGCCTTGGATATTGTTATGGAAATGGAATAGGAGTTGAAAAGGATGAACGTAAAGCATTTATTCATGTCCAAAAATCTGCTGAGATGGGACTTGTTGATGCAATATTTCAAGTTGGAAATTGCTATAGAGATGGAATGGGATCGAAAAGGATAATTATAAAGCATTTCTTCATTATCAAAAATCTGCTAAAATGATGCATACAAACGGAATGTCTTGGCTTGGTTATTGTTATCGAAATGTGATTGGAATTTCGAGAGATATACAAAAAGCTGATTATTGGATGTAAATAATCTATTTATTTAATTTTTTACTACAGTTATACTTAGTGTTGGCAGGCGAAACTTAGAGGTTTCGCCACAGACGAATGGCAAAACCTAGTTTCGACTTTTGCCAAAAAATAATTAAAATGGCGAAATGGCGAAAGTTGGCGAAACTGGCGAAACTAAAAAACGATAGCATAACTAGTGAAAGATAGTGAAATTAATAAAAATAGTAAGAATAAAAAGGTAATTAAAGATAATTAAAACTTTTTTATATAATTATATATAATAAGGACTTAATTTAGGCGCGATATCGCTCATCAATTTGATTGGCTAATTTTGTCGATCATCGTTACACGAATTTAGCTAATCAAATTGATGCTCGATAACTATAAAGTATCGCGCTATGCGATGTACTGTATATATTTATCCAATAATTTAATTTACTAACATGGCTCAGTCTTTTCTAAAGTCTTAAAGGATTTGATCTTCGCCGAGTTTTGACTTTCCCCAGGGTTTCAACTTTACCAGGGGTTTCGCCAGAGTTTCGCCGTTTCGTCAGAGTTTCGCCATTTCGCCAGAGTTTCGCCAGGTTTCGTCTTTCGCCGGGTTTAGTTTCGTCTTTCGCCATTTGCCAAAAATAGTTTCACCTGCCAACACTAGTTATACTGCAATATTTTAAATTTATATTTTCTACTAATAACTAGGGCAGAAAAAAATAAGATGCTTGGTAATTTAAAATCATTTAATTTACTTTTGATATAATTTTACTTACTGCAATGTTTTTTAGCAACAAACAAATGGACAAATGAAAATTTTAACATTGATGATATTGAAAAATTATTGGTTGGGGGGAAATTTCAGCAGTCATGGACTTCATATAAAGAGTTTATGGATATTGAAAAAATTGGACAAGGTGGATTTGCAACAGTATTTTATGCAGATGGCTAGATAAAGAACGAAATATTTGGAGAGATGTTGCACTCAAATTGATCCGTGGATCAAAATCTTATAACGAAGAATTTATAAAAGAGGTGATTTTTATTTCATGCTCATTACTTTCTTTATAATTTTTAAATACTGCATTAAGCGCATTATTTTTTAATTTAACATTAAAGTTAAAGGCGTATTGTGATATTAGTTCTAAACATCCTTCATTTTTAAAATGCCATGGAATATCAAAAAATGATTCTGGAGATTATATTCTTGTTTTAGAATATGCAAGAAAGGGTTCTTTGCGTAAAAATCTTCGCTCTGTAGCACGAATGAATTGGAAGAATAAATTAACATTATTGCATTGTATTGCTTCTGATCTTCAAATAATTCATTCCCAAGAGCTTATTCATCGAAATTTGCATAGTGGTAATATTCTCCAAGACACTTTACATAGCGCTTATATTGCAGATTTGGGGCTTTCAATATCAGCAAACATAGCATTAAATGCAGAAAGACGTAGAGTATATAGAATTTTACCGTACATTGCACCAGAAGCTTTAGATGGAGGCCATTATTCAACAGCATCAGATATTTATTCATTTGGCATAAATTTTATATGGAAAATCTGTATCTTATAATCAAGAAATTGGACAGCGGCTTCAATTTGAAATATGCAATAACAATTTACGACCAACAATTATTGAGAATATACCACAATGCTATGTAAATTTGATGAAGAAATGTTGGGAAGGAGATCCAGTAAACCGTCCATCGGCAACAAAAATTTGTGAAACCCTTATAGAATGGCAGAATGACGAAAATATTTTATTAGAATTAACTAATTCTGATAAATTATTAAATAATATTAAAAATACATATAATATACAATCATATTCGGATGACATTTATAAAAGTAAACTTATTAGTTATACTACAACATTATATCAAGGTAAGCTATATTTATTATTTTATAATAAATAAAATCTATTCTTTAATATTAATTATAATTATTTAATAGATAGTGAATTGAATGAGTTGAATATTAATGAATAATATAAATATATTGTATATTATAAATTTTATTTAGTTTAATTATTGACTATTTCTCAGTAGCTCTAAAATTTTTTAATAAATTGTCAAATTGAATAATTAGATACAATACTTGAACTAACCAATTTTATATGATATATACTATAGTATTATAAGAATATTCACATATTTATTAATATATAGTTTCATTAAAACCAGCTATAAACTACATTCACACTCTAATGCTATACGCATATTGTAACTAACAAGAATAATAATGCACAAGAGAACTTTAACGATATAATAATAGTATATTCAACAAATAGTATAACACTGATTAATGTATATTTTACGACGTATAATTAAGATAGTAACGCACAGAATAAACTTTATGCAGGATATAAGCAATGCATGAATGGAATAAAATTATAAATTACTATGGATGAAGCATAAATAGCCTATTTAAATAATTTGATTAAGATATAAATAATTAAATATTGTACGCATGTAAAAATTGTATATTTAACCAAATACGTAGAATAAAACTTATTAACATACGTACCATAATAATAATAAGTGCAAAACTTTTAGTTATTTCTAATAATGTTCTAATTCGTGCATGCTTTTCAAATTTTCCATCAATATAATCTTTTGCTGCGATATCCAAAATTAACAAAGATTCACTATCAAATATTACAAAAAGAATAAACAAGCTCTTTGTTATATTAGCCGCATCAGCATCATTCTTTAATAAACTTTTAAAAGTGTCTACCAATGATATATCAGGCATTTCTAAATTTACTTGATTGTTTAAAGAAATTTGAGAAATTTGAGAATCTCTTTGTGTTTGGTCAAAATTCACTTGCGATTTACCAGAAATCTCATTTTGTATTTTAAAGGAAACTTCTTGTACCGCGTTGCAAAGTACATCTTTTATTTGTCCAGAAGCTTCTTTGATTATTTTGGTAAGGTTATTTTATATCTCATCAGTAAGCTCGTCTATCGTATTTTGCATCTCCTCAAAAAATTTTTCTGCATCTACCTCGTTAGGAATTTTTTGTAATACATCAGAATTTTTTTTATCTTTTTTAAAATTTCTGTAAATTCGTTTAAAACAATCTTCTTTTTGATCTTTCCTTTAATTTTAAAAATGACTCTTTTTTTAATTTTGCTAGAAAACTTTTCTGATATCTTATTAAGAATTTGCTTTTTCGTTTCCTTGGAAATGTTTTCTAATAAATCTCTAAATTCACTTCTCATAGTACTCCAAACCTCTTCGTTATCATTCTCTTTGGCAAAAGTCTTTTCTTTTAAAATCTCTTTCATCTCTTCTTCCATAGCGGCTAAAATTTTTTCATCTAATAACTTGAAGAATTCTTCCTGCACTATATCAAAAAGTTCATCTAATAATACAGCTATAATTTTATCTCGTATCCTGGCAAAAATTTCTTTTTGCATTTCCGGAGAAAGTTTTATTTCTGCCAAAACTTCTATATCAATTGAGATTTCTTGATTCGAACTTTCAGCTTTATTATTAGATTTTTGGCTTAATTCATTATAAACTTTGTAAATAATTTCAGATATTTTTTCATAATTAATTTTGTCAGTAATTTTTTTTCGTATTTTGTTGGAAATTTCTTTTACATCACCATTAATTTCATTTATTTTACCAGAAATATCGTTAGATGTTTTTTCTATTATTTCAGAAATTTTTTCCTGCACCTTTTTAAATATTTGTTTTATTAATTTATTTAGATCCTCGGAAATTTTTTCGTCCATATCATCCATTTCCTTTTTTGAAGGTGCTGCATGGATCACAATAATGATAGCTAGAATTAAATTTATGATTATTGGAAGGCCCCAGATAATCATACTTTGTTTAAATAGTAAAAATTAATTCTACTGTAACATTATTAAAAATATGTTTAATACTATATCAAATAATTATAAAAATAATTAATTACCTTGGCCAAATAAGTTCAGGCTTGTCTTTAGTACTGATAAAAACAAAGTAAACGGTAAAAATAAAGCTGGTGATAATGAATGCGTAACCTGAAATTGTATGAACTATTTTCATCACTGATTCGTTATGATCATTTTCAAAACCTAGAAATATGAAGAATTTTTGGAAACGTTCTATTTTATGATTCGATATGATATATAAAATTATAATTATTGCGAGAATAAGAATCGCCACAGTGATTTCAGACTTGTTTTGATCAAAGAAGCCCTCTATAATATATATAATTCTATAATAATAATTTAACAAAGTTTATAATTCAACTACTTACCTTTGATCTTAAACCCAAGGTTCTGATCCAAATCATTTGTCGCATTAGTGGAAAATGTTGTTATTTGTTTATTTGTTATCATAGTATCTATATCAGATACCACACCTAGAACAGTATTTTCGTCATTTGAATTTGGCAGATTTACACGAATAGAAAAAATAATTTGGTCGCTAGGATCTCCATAATTAATATGCTGGAATTTTCCATTAGTGCTTAAAAGTTCACGTCGAACTGGAACTTTATCAGCAATTTCATTTAACAAATTCTTGAAATACTCAGAACGGTTAGGGAGCGATAAGAATTTTTTGGTGGCACTCGTGGAGAGACCAATTATGCCAACGATAGCACTATCTATAAGAATGATATATAGTATGAGAAAAATAACAAGAATACACACGTATTGATATTTACGCGTAAATATAATTAATACCTGAAGAGTTTGCCTTATAAGCTAAATTGGTTTAGAAACGTCAAAAAGTTAAGAGTTAAGGTAGGAATTACTGAATAAAGATAAAAAGAAAGTGTTAAATAAATATTGATATTACTTGAAGTAAGATTCCAAATCCCATCATCAATTCCTTTTAGAGGCTCTTGATAAAATCCACTCTGAACAAAATTATTATCCATCTGCACATAATAATTTTCACCGTACTGATTAAATTTACTACTAATAATTGTTATATTAACAGTTTTTCCATCCGGACTAATTTGGCAGTAACTACTCGTTGGAGAAATTCTTTGTCTAATGCTGTTGTCAGAAGTTTTGCGTATAGTGATAAAACTATTGGCCGACAAAGAAGATAAAACAACAGGATCATAGAATATGATGCTTAGAGTAGTCGTTGATGAATCGACAGTAGAATTGATAGGTGGAATAGTTCTATCAATTTGAAGATTACCATAACCACGATCTAAATACACAAATAGATAAATATTACAACATAAGATATTATTATCAATATTACAAGATGCGATAGTATATAAACATACCGAGATATTGTGAAATTTTAGGTAACTGAATAGTGAGCAAAGACCAAGAGGTATTTTGACTATTTGTATCTCGTGAAGCGAGTAGAAAAGTATTATTATTATTCATAATATCGTTTACACCAAAAGAGTTTGTAGGAAAAGGGCCTAGCAAATCCAAAGGTGTCTGAAAGTTAAATTCGTCATATGCAAAAATATAATGGGTATTATTTGCAGTAGCATCTATTATATAACCACCGAATGGCATTGCTTTCACCCTCCAACCTTGCATAGGTATACCAGTTACATTGGGAAGATTGGATATTACATTTGCCTGTAACACTGATCCTGATGACAAAAAGTTAACTTTTATATAATCTACAGTAGCGATAGTTGATGTGATAACTGAATTGACAGAAATTGTGCAAACATGACCAACACCCACAGATACTAAATTCCATTAAAAGATATATTTTGACGACTAAGTTGATAGAGTATAGCCGTCCTATCTTGAGATACTTGATTGTAAGATATAAAATTAGCACTCAGCGTGCAACGTAAGGATAATAATTTGTCATCATCAGCTTGTGAACAGTTAGCATATAATATAGCATAACCGCTATCAACGGTAGACATTGGCGTGCTCTGGTAAGATAAATCGCCTTGAGGAATTGTAAGATTATTACTTGTTAGCAGTGATAGCTTTCCGGAATCATCACTGTATAAATTATTAAGATTATAAAAATAATTGATTAATATTAAAACACAGTATAATAATAGTAATAAACATTAAAGTTAAAAGACTAAATTACACTGAATACTGCTGCCATTCAGACCATTGCGAATTGCCTACTCTTATAGAAGACAATCTAAGAAATCCAAGTTTTTTTTATATTTAATTGAATTGCACTCTCTGGATCCCAGACACCGTTAGGAGCAACGTAAGACGGACCAAAAAATATTGTACTGATAATTTATGTAATAAATAAAATAAAATATAGTAATTCCGATTAGTGTTTTGAGAAAAACAACAAGCCAAAAATTTCTGACAAATAAACTTGAATTTTACTCAAAACGTTATAAATTATTGCCATACCTTTGGCTGTTACCGTTCCAATCAATAACCTCGCCCCACTCCTCATAAGTTGTAGGATCAGAAGAATTTGTAGTTTTTATATAAGTAACCAGAATAACCGGTTTTTGTAAAGGGTATATTGTAATAGGATTTTTTATGTTGCCCGTTATATCATTAAATAAACAATAATTCAAAGGATCTAATTTTAAATCGAGATTAATCTCGTTAACGGTTCCATTTAATTGAATAACTCTCTAGTTATTGTAGTAGGACCCTTTTTTTCGTCGATAGGGAGAAGATATAATCATATCACAAATTAAGCCATCAAACAAAGCATGCAATGAGAAAAGGGGTAAGTTTGAACGCACGGAAATAATAATTATAAGTCCGATGGAGTCATTTCGTGCACTAAAAAAAGAAAGTAAAATTTTCATGGATGTGTTACAGAAGCTTCAATCGTGTCTTCGAATAAACTATTAAGCTATTATTGAGAGCAATAAATTTTGTTATAATTTTTTTTGGCAAATTATAAAGAGATTGTTCTTTTTTTAGATTTTCTACGCCATATGTTCATAATGGTTTGAATTTAGTAGCTCATTGAACTTTACTGAATATGTCTATTATGCGCGTTAATAGACAATTAGATCCGGAAGCTACTTAATGCTAATACTTATTTGTAAGTATATTAATACAATAGCCGCGAAACGTGAGAGGATTTAAAATTTAGTGGTGATTTAGCAATGATTTATTATTTGAGTGCTGCCAAGGCAAAACCTGTAAGCAATTATTTGAGGTATCAATAAAGCGAATTTAATCCTTGGAAAATATTACGTATTAAATCATTGTATACAAATTGTATACAATGATTTAATGCAAAATATCACAATTTTCCCAGGATTAAATTCGCCTTATTGATACCTCAAATATTTGCTTACAGGTTTTGCCTTGGCAGCACTCATTTGGTAATATTTATAGTAGTAGCATTATTTTTAAATAAGCCTATGTACGTACGTACTGTGCATATTAATCGTACGTTTCTATACCCTGTTGGTGACTTAAAAGTATTCCCTAAATTCTTTCAATAAAGTTTTGTCTATATATACAGTATATGGAAGGATGTACAGTACAGTACTGCACGTTTATGATATGCAAACATCATTCATTGTGATTTGGGATAAACTATTTTTGGAATTGAATTGATGTAACGTCCTCAAAAAATTTCCTATTCGCTCTTTTTAATTATCAAACGAGAAAGCCAGCCCATAGAAATTTCAAAATTATTTTTAATAAACTATATAATTATTATAGCTAAATAAGTATTCAGGTAAACTTGATATTCTTTATTATCTAAACAACATTCACTAAAAATAATACCTCACTCACGTAAAGTCTTTAAAAAAGTGGTGTTTTCCCATTAACCGTTTCGGTTTAACTTAGATATTTATAACTTCGTATAAATATACGGAATACTATTATAAATTTAATTCCGAATCACTATGCCAAGATTACGGGAGACTAATGAATAATATCCTGATCCATATGTGAATAAGCGGAAACAAAGTTTCCACTAATTCTCAATGGATCAGAGTACTATTCTTACTGATTTTCTATGCATATAATTGTCCGGAGCGTAGCGACCGAATCTTAATTATACTCAAAGTGATATAAAAGTTACAGTTTGATGCAATTCGACCAATAATAGGTTAAAATAGTTGTCTTGCATTAGCAAAAACATTATGAAGAAAAGTACTTTGGAAATTTTCTGTCGGTCACACTGCGTATCCATATTTGTACTTTAATTGTGACAAAAAACCGTACGCGCTTATGTTATATGATCACCGTACTCCGGACACATAATAGAAACACATTAGCCTAGTACGTACAGTATATACAAATATTATATACGTATACAACATTATATACATACGTACATATATATTCGAATTTATTTTTTTATCTACATTTATTTCTATATATTTTACTTATATCGGTTATTCATTACAATTGGGAAGTTGAATAAAGAAATGAAAATAATATGCAGTGAAGGTATTGTCACAAGTTAAAAATAACATTTCCAAAAAAAAAAACTGCGACTCAAGAAACAAGCTCTTGGAGGCTTAGATGGAGCATGAGGTTTACCGGCTGAAGGATGTTGAAAGATGAATCACTACGAACAAAGTTGCGTCAATAATACGTAAGAAGCTTATTATAACCGCAGATAGTAAGCCTTCTACTAGTAAGAGTTATATGAGCACATAAGAACACTAATATATCAAATCTTTTAACTATATGACCAAATCACTATAGTCACGCCTCCGGCGGAAGCCTTAAGAATGATTTTAGGATTTCCGCAGAATTAGATAGCAGTCCATCGAAATGTAATAAATTCAATGAAAGACTAACAACTATCAAAGATATGCTACAAAATGTTTACTGTTATAATTCAAACACATTTATTCGACAGGTCCTATGTGCGCACTAGACGTTTTTTGTATATATTATTCGATCACTTTCTAATCATGTGAAAACTCAATTTTTTGATATTATTTCTTTTTGCGTAACTCATAAAATTCATATTAGTGAAAGTTAAGGAAAAAAGATTTAACGAAGGAAAAAAAGTAAAAAAGAAGTTAAACGAAAAAAATGATGAGCGAAAGTGGAAAAGTAAGCGAACGTAAAAAAAGAGTAAAAGTGAGTCTAATGATTAGAAAGATCGAATAATATATACGAAAAACGGCAGTGCTTACGTCGGACCTTACGGATAAAAATGTTATCAGTTAAGTTGTAATGAAAATATAAATGACGTGGCAAAGCCACGTCATTTATATACTCTTCGAATGATTTTTTAATAGGAAATTTTTTTTTTAAAAGAATAAACATCACATACAATATCTAGCTTATACATACTAGAAATATGTAAAATTAGTTGTAGAAAATAAATTTTAACTATATGTTTAAAGATAAACTTTTACATAATTTAATGTCTCCTTAATGTTGTAATGAATAAGTTTGTAATTTTTGACAAGAAATATTATTATGAATAAACTGATTTCAAAACGAACTTGCTAATTAACTGATGCATTATATATAAGCTTTTAAATGGTTTTAAACAAATAAAACTATAAATCACCATTTTACTATTGTATCTTTGAAATTGTTCTTTATATTATGTTACAGTACATTAACTAATTATGATTTAATAAATTAAAGTTTTGTATTAAAACTAACATAACCTCCAATATATTGTTTGACACTATTAATCAGATGATCAAACCTTGTCGAAAAAAGCTCACAACACACATAAAGAATCTTAGTCCTATCTTTTTTTTTAAAAAATATAAGGACTTTGTCCTACGTTTTGTATAAATCGCCTGGCCAACCTGATCCGTGTAATTAGATATTTGATTGGATATCGGCAATGAAATTCAATTTAATAGCATTAAAATATGGATTGAATATACAATATTTACGTAAAGGTTGAAGCCAAATTTAAATAAATTTTATTGATAAAATATGATATAGACATTTATATTATATAAAGAAAAATTAGTTTAACAAGTTTAATGAAGAAAAACTATTATAAAATAAAAATAATTCTTTAAATAAAAGTACATAGAAATGAACACATCAGATCAATAATATTGAGATAATTATTAAGGAATTATTTGATTAACCGGTGTATTGCTAACGGTTTGACTATTACTTTCGACACCAGCAGTCACACCAGTTTGACATTTACGTTTATCATTGCCTGATAAAATTCACCGAGATCGAAGTAAATCTTTGTAAAGAACAGTTTAGTACCACCATTTACGAATTCCAAATGTAAGTCGCCTGTCAAGTTATAGACAACGTTACCATCACAATCTCTGAGGAGAACAGCAAAACAATTTTTCTCTGGATCATCTAAACCTTCTGAGAAAAGACTTTTCCTCATCACCACGTTTAAGTAAAGGGTTAGAATTGCTTTGTGGGATAATTGCCGCAGTGGATTAGTTTAAAAAGAAGAAAACCAATAACAAAATGAAATACACAATCTTATTCATTTTGTGTGTGTGTTTTTTAAAATATTTTTTTAACGTGATTTTTTTTTTTTTTAAAGCTAGCTTGGTTTTATAAAAAGTTGATTTTTATTATTGTAAATCAATTTTTGATGGGTTGATGAGAAGTCGAGTCCAAGTCCTTATATAAGTAATTTTTTTCTATACACCTTACATGAAAATTTTTTTCCTATACACCGAGTATCATCGTAGGACTTTTCAATTATGCAAGAACTTTTCAATTATGCAAAAGATTTCTCTCCCCTTTCCCACAGATTTACAAAGAACTCTACTCTCTTTCTATTTTGTTTATTCGATTATTAGTATGATTATTAGATAGCGCTTGTACCATATACAGGTATACAATAATTTATTTTCTAAACTAATTTTAGAATTTTTAATATCATTTTAATCGTACTGTAATAATTTTTTGAATATTTATAGTGTCACGGGCAGTATATTAGCTGCCCGATACGAAAGTATCAGAGCAGCATTTTGTCTCGAATCGATCACGGGTGCGGTTTCGTGATTATCGTGTGATTTGAGTGATGTGATGCATCAC